TACCCCTACCTTACTTTTTTTCTTTTTCTTTTTTTTTTTTTTATTACTGAGACAGAATACCCAACACCCAGAATTAAAGGGGAAAAGGTTTATTTGGCTCACTCATAGTTTGTAGTACATAATCAGCTAGCCCCAAGGATGGCACAGAAAGGAACAGAGCAGTTCTGGTGAGCAGAAGATAGTAAAGCATAGGAGAACCAAGACAAGCCTCTTTCTGTCCCTTACACTATATCCAGTCTACTAGGACCAGGGTGGTGCTAAACCATTCGGTGGACTACTTAGTAATCAGCCACCTATAATCCCAGCACTACACACTATAGATCCTACCACCTCTGAAAAAGCTCCACTTATGACTGCATGAGGCTTTGGAGGGGCCATCTAGACACAAACCATGACAGTTCGCCACTGACTCCCCAAAGACTCGTGTACATTTGCAAAAAGCATTTAGTTCATCTCGAAGAGTTGCCAAAATCCTAACAGTTTCAGCATTGCTGAAAAGTCCTCTGCAATTTAGGACAAATTCTTAGGTACAAGCCCCTGTACAAATGAAAAGAAAGTTGAACACTTCCAACATTCAGTGGTACAAGATAGACATTTCCATTCCAAAAGTTACAAACAGTGGGATAATAAGGAATAGAAACAGAGCAGGACTTAAATCCAGCATGACAAACATTAAATCCCACAGTTCACTTCCAGTGTCCCCAGCAATCTGTGGAAACTTGTGAACTCCAAAAGACTTAGGTGGCTTGACCCCTGTAGCTCTTGTTTCTCTTCTGGTCCTTGTAGCTCCCATGTCTTCTTTCTTTGGCAGGCTTTGGCTACTCCTTGCAGCTTCCCTTGGACAATCCACTTTCCTGATTTTTTTCAAAATTTTGGACTCACCACTACACCTTTGGTTTCACACTCACAGTTTCATATATTGCCCTCTCAGGGACACACTGCCTGACCTTTTAGACCTTCTTGTGAAATCTAGGTGGAAGCCTTCCTGAGTCCACAATTCTTGAATTCTATATGCATCTAAAACCAGCATCACATAGATGACATTAAGGCCTGACAATAGCTGGAGTAGTAGTCATACTTCCTTCTCTCTTGGCTGTAGGGGTCCAGTTGGCTGGAATTTCCTTTCTAGCCAAACTCTATATATTTTAAACCATCTCCTGTGCTCTTTGATCTTGTTTCTCAGTGTAAGTCTGGCTGAAACCCCCCAACAGTAGCCATGCCACTGTTTCAGCATTCGACTGCCTTGAAATTTCTTCTATAAGATCTACCACCTTTAATCTTAGTCTCAGGCAGGGTCTCTGGAAACTAACAAAATGCAGGTAGACTTTCTGCAAAGCCACAAGACATGTCATCTGGAGTGTAGCAGCCAAGTACAGCCATTCTTCCTAGCAGAAACCTCCTAAGCTTGGTGTTTACTGTCAAGATTTCTATCAGCCTTTTGGTCTTCTGAGCTCTGACCAGAATCTCCCATACAGAACAGCCTGAGGCTTTCCAAGGCTGCTCTTTCAACCATTGGGTCTTAGCCTTTTCAAACTCTGCCGTAAGCCAGTTCCAAAGGCTTCTGAATCATTAGGTCAGGTATAATCACAGCAACAAACCCATTTTTGAGGTACCAAGTTCTTAGTTACTTTTCTCAGTGCTGAGATAAAATACTTGGAGCTCAAAGTTAAATGCTCACAGTCCATAGAAATTTCAGTCTAAAATCAGCTGGCTCCAAGACAGGGTGACTCAGCCCACAGATACAGAGGAGAAACAGTTCATGTCAGACAGAAGGCAACAAAGCAGAAAGGGGCCACAAGGAGCCTCTTTCTGTTTCTTATATTGTGTCCAGGGTTAGTGCAGTACCAAACCAATCACACACCCTTAATCCCAGCATCACAAATGCAGATTTAGCCCCTCAGAGGATGCCCCACCTATGACCACATAAGACATTGGGGAGGGGGGATGGGGATATCTGAACTCAAACCATACTGATCTTGCTCTGCTACCCTCAGACCATTCCTCAGGCATGTTTTTGTTTGTTTGTTTTTTTTTTAAACATTTATTTATTTATTTATTTGTGTGTGTGTGTGTGTGTGTGTGTGTGGCCAGCTCAGCCCACCAGGGGGCGGGGCTGGCTGGCATGTGGTGCTGGGGGATTGAACCACGGTCCCAGTGCATTGCCAAGCTTGTTTCAAGTAGGTGCTTTAGACCACTGAGCCATCTCTCCAGCTCCAGCCATGTTTTTAAATACCAGTGTATGTTAGTTAGACCTTGCCATTCTTTGGGGGTAGAATTCCACTCGCCCCTTTTTAAGTTTTTAGGTGAGACCAGATCAACTTTAGCTTAGCTCTAATTTTGCCCTACTGGAGAGGCAGTACTCTGCTGCGTACTTTATGATGCCCCATGAATTTAATGAGGTTCTCTAATGCTCATTTATAAGAACAAACACAATTTCTAGCCTTGTATGAGTTTCAGGGATGGATTCCTCTCATCCTTTCAGGTTTATCGTTTCCTAATCTTGTTTAACATAGGCTCTTTAGTAGTACTGAACTAAAAACTGAGGTGAGGAACACTGCTGAAGGTCTGTGTGTTTTTTCTCTCACTCTGTCTCTGTCTCTCTGTCTCTTCGTCTCTTTGTCTCTGTCTCTCTGTCTCTTGTCTCTCTGTCCCCAATCCCCTCTCTCCCCTCCCCCTCCACCCTCCACACTCCGCCCTCCGCCCTCTCCCCTCTCCCCTCTCTTTTCACTCTCTTGGACACTGCCTTGTAAATTTAAAGTTACCTACCTGGGCTCCTTTTCCCTGCACCAAGGCCTTCAGCTTTCTAGCAGTGAGAGTTGTCCTGGGGCTCATTTCCTTTCTGGTATCATGTGCTTTGTGGCCTGTGGCCTGATATCCAGTCTGGAAGCCTTTGCTTCATAGTTCTTGTATTGTCTGGATGTTTAGTTGTTTTACATGGTAGAGTGTGTTATCTATTGTGGAGTACCAGATTAACCCTCAAGCTTAGCCACTAAAACAACAACATTATTATCTGTAGATCAGAAATCTAGGTGTGTCTTTACAGGGTTCCTCTGGCCCTGGAGCATCTTTCTGTATTGTAATCTAGGAATCAGCCCTAGCTGTAGTTTCAGGACTTGCCTGGGGAGGGATCTGCTTTCAGGCTCTGGTTGGTGGTGAAATTTAGTTTCGCAATGGCAGTTAAATTCAAGGCCTGAACTCTTAAACTGTCCTGTGGATGAAGACTGCCCTCAGTTTCTTGACTTGTTTAAGCTTGCAGACTTGTTTCATAGAAATCAAAAGCAAGGGAGAAGAATCAGAAAGTATGAGAAGAATAGAAGCTTCAGTATTTTGGACCCTAACCTTGTGACATATCATTGCTTTTATGGAATTCTTTTTGTTGAAAGCAAATTGTTAGGTTCAGCCCACACTTGAAAAGAGAATTTCATGTATGATGAATACAGGGAAGCAGGGATCACTGTTCTCTCTCTCTCTCTCTTTTTTTTTTTTTGTCTGTGTGATTGACTTTTAATTTATGTCAGAGTTGGAAAATCTATTGGCACTCTCTCAAGTATCTCTGGTACATTCATTTGCTAGGATGCTTATAGAATTCATTATATACAGTATAGAGTAGTCCCCAGCTATAACTTGTTATAGTGAAGGAACACAAAGCAAATCAGCAAAGTAACAAGGAAAAATTGGATGGGACAGAGTTTAGAGGAAACTATACACGAGCTTCCGGGAGTCCTGTCCTAGTTAAGTCAAACAGGATGTGCTGAATTCCTTTACCAAGGAACTTTTACTGTGTGTGTGTGAAGTATTGTATTCAAAGAAAGCTCATTCAAGACAACACTTTTATTCAGGGCTTATTGCAGAGATGCCTTCTGCCCAGCACATGCCAAAATTCTAGACACGCAGAAGTGAAAGCAAGGGTTCAGCATTAACCACATTATTTACACAAACAATGTAGGCAAATTGAGCCATTTTATCAGTTAGCAAATGGTGAAAACATTTTTTTTTTGTACCAGGAATTGAACCCAGGACCTTGTGCTTGCCAGTCAGGTGCTTGTGTTGCTGAACTATATCTCCCGCCCAAGAATATTCTGGAGATCTAAGCTATATGATACCAGTTGAGGGCTGCCTTGCAAGTCATGATTCTGCACAGATCAGAAAGGGGATTTATATTAAGCTTATCATAAATAGTAATCAGTGAAAATATCTTATTAAAATGTTTCCTTCAGACTTAGGAATGTGAGGGTAGGGGAACATTATAGTAGGGCCAGGAAAGCAAAGAAATTTAATTCGGGCAGTAGTCTTTGTGTTTAGATTCTAGCTTCAGTGTTACAGCACATATTTATAGTGAACTTAGGAAAAAAGCATTCCAGTGGTGTAGTGTATGCAGTATTTGCTTCTAGAAATATTTTTTCAGTTCCTGGGTTGGACCTGGCTACTGTGCGAGTATAGGCTATTAGCTGGTGAGTAGGGCAAATATTAAATACACAAGGATTTATTTATATATTTAAAATTTCCTTTACAGGAAAGAAAAATATTTAATTTCTATTTATCCAATAGAATTTTCACATACCTTCTTTTCGCCATTGTTCTGGTGTGAACAAAATAGAGCTGTTGCCCTTTGGGACCCAGAATCTCAACTAGGGCCAAATGGAGTGTTAAGCAATAAATAATATATTAAGTAACAAATATATAGTATTTCAGCTATATAGCGTGAGCTGTAATTTAAAGTATATTTATGGCAGTTTGTTGTAAGACTATGCCCCATTTTGGCCTGCCACCGAAGTCCATAATCTCAAACCGTATATGGAGCTGAGACAGCCGGATCTCAGTCCAGCTTGGGCAACTGAATGACTTTGTGAGCTCCTGTCTCAGAATGAAAACTGAGCTGGAGGTGTAGCTCAGTGTGGAGGTCCTAGGTTCAGTCCCCAGCACTGGGCCTCTCACATCACATTTTATTCATCTCCTACTCTACTGCTTGCCTCCCATGCTTTCTCCCTTCCTTGTTCTAGGGATCAAACCTAGTGCCATTTGATGCCAGGCAAGTGGGCTATCCCCAGCCCTCCAGTTGTTTCCAATTTGGGGTTATTGAAAATGAAGCTGTTATGAACATTTTTGCCCATATCTTTATATGTATGCATTTCTGTTATCTGGTATGTAACAGTATTTGACAATTCCTGTTATTCTACATCCCTTGCCAACAATTGCCAGTTAAATTATTTTTATTTTGATGTATAGTAGTATGTCATTATTTTTTTGTTTGGTACTAGGAATCAAACTCAGGGCCACGCACTTGCCAGGCAGGCACTGTGCCACTGAGCTGTAACACCAGTCCCGTCATTTTAATTTGCATTTTCCTAATCCCTAATAAAGTGAGCATCTTATAGTTACTAGCCATTTGGATTTCTCATTTTGTGACAAATTTATCAAGATATTGGGGCTGGGGAGATGGCTCAGTGGAATAAGTGCTTTCCTAGCAATTGCTAGGGCCTGAGTTCAATCTCTGGTTCCGCAAAAAAAAAAAAAAAAATCAAGATGTTTTGCTCATCATTTACTAGCTATAAAGATTTTGATTGAGTTACCAGATTTTTTTGAATACAGTGTTAAAAATCCATAGAATGGAACTGTTATATAACTGTCAAGTTTCTTTGAGTAGTCGCTATTTGATCTGTCCAAGCCTTTATTTTTGCACATGTTAAGAATTAAATATCAAATATTTAATATTAAATATTTTCTACAGTGGTAATGTCTACTTGGATATAAAGATTTTTTAAAGAGAAAAGATCCACTCAGTGGAATAAGCACTTCCCTGGCAAGCCCAAGGGCCTGAGTTCAATCCCCAGTTCCGCAAAAAAAAAGAAAAAAAGATTAAACTCAAAGCTTTGCCAGGGAGATGGCTCAGTGGAAAGAGAAAAGATCCAGAGAGTGGGTGGAATTGCTCCTTTTTTTTTTTTTTTTTTTTGGTGCTGGGAATTGAACTTAGGACCTTGTGTTTGCCAGGCAGGCATTGTGCTGCTGAGCTATATCCCCACCCCTCAAATTTCCACATTAGTATTGATGAATTTTCAGTAGAATTAACTTATAAGAAGGCAGACTCTCTAAAAACTTGCTTCTTGTGGAAATTAGAATTATTTAAGTAGAATTTGAATTAAATTTTATACAATTTCATGAGAAGAATTGTACCAAAACTTTTCCCATATTCTCTATACCTTCTGCAGGTGTTTTTGTCCACTCTATTGCTGTTGATATCATAGGCTGATTCTTCTCTCTAAGATCCCTCTCTGAAGCATAGACTCCTTTTCATAACCAACTACAAAATCTCTCCTGTGATACCTCACTGGTGTTTTCAAACTTTTGTATCAAAAATTAATCTTCTGTCTTTCCCTCCCAGTGCCATTCCAGACTTCATTAATAACAGTGGGTTTTTTTCCATAATTTTATTGAGAAACAAATAGCAATGAGACTCTTTCTTTCTTTCTTTCTTTCTTTCTTTCTTTCTTTCTTTCTTTTACTTTATTTCATTTTTGGTGGTACCAGAGATTGAACTCAGGACCTTGCACTTGCCAGGCAAGCACTGATTCCACTTAGCTATCTCCTTGGCTCCAAATGTTGAAAGTGTTGTTATT